GATAATGGTGGTGGGTAAGGAACATAGCTCTAGTATATAACGGATCAAAAGTAACCAAACACTTGCCCCCAAGACACTTCAACTGATCTCAAGGAGTTCCTATATCACAAGGACAAATGATTAACACTTGAACAGTCACCTATAAGACAAAGACCCCCACACCCACACCCACCCCACCCCCCGTAAATCTGGAAACAAACACCTCCGAGTGGTTTGAAAACAGAATGTGTTCTTGTTTCTATGTCCATAGAAAGAAGGTTTTCTTCTCCTTCTTTCTTGTTTACATGTTAGGCTAGAAACCCTGCTGAACTCCACGCAGTCTGTCCATTGGTGCATGTGGGCATTACCATTGAGATAAGCACAAAGCTCCACCTTTTCTCTGCCGGCCAATGACAATGGCAAAAGAGCTCAGAGTAATCCCTGGCTTTGTGTCCCTGAACGCAGGAGTAATTCTGATCACTCCAGCTCCCATTCTGAGCTGTGACCATCTGCTTTCTGGGGATTAGAAATACCTTTTAAAGACTTAACTGCATCCCTTTCAATGCATGAGTCCCCCTCCCATTTTGGGGGGAAACCAAGTGAATTCTAAAATATAATAAGTTTAGACCACTCATACGAAAATTTGAAATAAACCAAGAAATACTTTCTTCATTTAAGCATGGCTTAAAGTGAGCATACACCAAGATTCTCCAGAACATCAAACAAATACACAATGACAAGAACATCTTATTTTTCATGTAACTGATTGAAGTATTCAATACCTCTATATTTGAAACCATTACAGTTCTAGATTCCACTAGCGAAATCGTCAAATAGCAACACTTCAGATTCTCCCTCTCTTGTCTTTCCCTTCCTCATCCTTTCCCTGTTCTTCTTTCCTCCAGAACAACCCATGGCAAAGACCTCCGCTTCCTCTCTTCAGTTTGCAATCTCCCCTCCCCATGCTTCCTTTGCTAGATCTCTCGTTTCGTCCACGTGTCAACAAGGACATGTGGGTAACCCACTCGTTTATTCTTTTTATGCTTGTGGGAATCTGTCCACTTTGATAATTTTACTTCCCTCTTCTTTATTTTTTCACCCAGTTTGCTTTCCTACTCCATCAACTGATGGTTTGGCCTGTAGCCTTCATTCCAACAGACTCCTCTGTCAGGGGACAATAAGACTTGAAATTTCACTGTATCTTTAATGTCCTCATGTCTGCCTACTGCCTACAGAAAATCCTGCTTTTCTTAAAGAGTTCGAATCACCTGAAACTGTTGAAAGTTCAGTTTGATTCCCTTTGTGTCACACTAGAATCACTAAGACATTATCAACCTACAGAAATAAAGAAGCACTATTAAGTGATGAAAGAAACAACAATGTGAAGCCAGAAAAACAAAGCAAAATAGCATGTTTGTGATCTTACTTTTTCTTTAGATCCCGCGAGTATTCACCAGCCGACTCTCTAAACAAAGAAGACACATGACAATGATTAAAATTCTGTGAAGAAGATGCTGCTGAAACACTGCGCAGTTAGCGGCGAGTGATGTTTACGTTACTCAGCTGGTACAAAATGTCAAAACCTGAGTAAGAAGTGAAGTTAGTTATATTTTGTCATATTCAGCTTGGTAAAGGGCAATGTTAAATGTTCCTTTTAAAGTTATAAAAATCAAAATATGCTATGATTATCCCGGGAGGGGAAATGACATTTATAATATAATAAATCAACACAATCCTTCATCAAAATATATATACTCTGAAGATAATACCATAGACGGCATCAAATATCATTACATTAAATTTTTCTGTTGGAAAAGTCTGAACGATTCTTAGAAAAGGTGATATTCTTTGCATTGTATATTTTGTTAGGACGGAGTCCTTTGGTAAATACACACAAAGCCCTTTAAGCAAAAGTTGTTTTTAGGAACATCAAAGGAGAATCAGAAAGACGGAGCCTCTTCAAACTATGTTAACACGCTTAATAATAAACACAGCTTGGTTTCAAAATTGGGCTGAGGAAAAAAAACTTATTAAAATTTTAAGAAAAGAAAATATAAAAGGTTGATCAGCATGACCAATAGCAAGGGAAGTCACAAGAATACAAGACCATAGAGCTGGCACCTACTGTACACACTAATAGTAAAAGTAAATGACATGAAGGGTATAAGATGCTGGCAGGCAAATAGAAGTACATTCAGGAGTATATGTGGTTTGGCAAAGGATAGGCCTATACATGCATGAAGGGGTTTATGGAAAATAGAATGAAAGGATAATGGGATTTCCCACACACTTTCTGATAGTTCCCTCATATTTGTATATGCAGTGACCATAGCCAAGGATTATTGTAAGGCATACAAGGGGTAAGGTTCTGAAAACTTCTGAGCTATACCAAACACGTTGAGGGAATAACTCACTAGGTTTGGGCACTTAGGACCAGAGTCACAGGGGAAAACTAGGTCAGTTGACATTAGCAACACACAGAGATAATGATTGACATCCCCCTTAGGTGAGTAGCAACTATGGTCTTAAAAGCTTGCAAGCAGCAATCTAAGATGCAGCTGTGGATGCCTTCATGTTTGGAGAAAGAAGAGTAAAAGAAACCAACGTCTCAAGGAAAGAGTCTACGGAGCTGATGGACCATATAAATCACAGCCTCCACATGACCAGAGACCAGAAGAACTAGATGGTGCCCAATTACCACTACTACTATCAGTATCACAATAAAAGATCTTGGGTAGAGAGGGAGAGAAGAAAAGGTAGACTATTATTCAAGAATAGAAATAGTCCTGACTTACTGGCATGACAGGGACTCAGGGGACCCCTAGGGTTGTGACACTTAGCCACTCTTTAAGCCTGTTTAAGCCTGGAACTGAACTCAAGAAGCAGTTTTCAGATAAACAATGGACAGAACAGGCTTATATAATGAATAATCACACCAGAGAGGAAAGTGCTACTCAAGACAATCAACCAGACAGGACCACCCCCCAAATGCTTCATTTGTCCCTCTTCCTTACCAGCCCCACCCAAAGTACAGAAGACAAGAAGTCATGAAGAAGGGCACATGAAAACAGAGAGGGAGAGAAAGTGCAGTTCCACTGAGGGGAGGGTAACCAAGGTCATAAAACAAGATGTGTATACATGGTTGAGTGGAAAACCCAGATGCTCAATAAACTTTTATCCAAAGTAAAATACAAGGACTTTAAAATAAACAAATATGAAAATTCATAACTTAAAAAAAATAAGGATAGGGAATGACATAAATCCAGGAAATCGTAGTGGCATCTCAGGAGTTTTCCAAGCCATTATAAAAATGGTATACATCTCCTTTCCTTAATGATTTTATTAAGCTTGCTCCTCTTGTGTCTTTAATGTTTTTCTTTCTTTCTTTCTGCAGGAGTGGAGATGAAGAAATCAATTAGGAGACTGTGAGTATCTGAACAGTCAAGTTGAAACCTGTTTAAATTTCTTTTAAATTCTAGAAAACACTAACTGATCTTGAATGACATAATAGTTCAGTGTCTTCATTGAGATAGTTAAGGTTTATTGTGCCAACCTGGCAGATAAACACATGTGGGATTAATTGAAGGGCAGCCTTTCTAGCTCTTGGGTCTCTTGCTTTCTGATGGTCGGACCAGGGTGCAGCTGCCTTAGCCAATTGCCTGCTTTAGCTGGAAAGGCTCACTTCCTGAAAGACATCCCTGAGGAGAAGCCACATGGACCTACCCTGATGCAGCCCTGGGTGCTGGAGCAGCCCTGTGGAGACCCCTGCCAGTGCTGACATGCTTACACACTCACTGATTCAACTTTCCTCCTGCAGTCAGCATCATTGCATGTGTTTTGTGAGATTGAGGAGGTCTTTGTAGATTGGTGTTGGACATATGAGCTATTGTTGTACTTATGGGCTTGGACAGCATTGGGGTTGGATGCTTTCTTAATGTATACTTAACCTTAATATAAAAATCTCTCTTCTACATGCATTTCTGTGGATTTGTTTCCCTAGTTTATCCAGACTAACCCATTATAAAACATTGCCAGGGTAGGGAGTGAGGGAGGATTTCAAATGAAAGAAAAAAATTGGAGCGATGACAGGTGTGCTTTTTCTTTCATTGTGGTGATGACTTAGAGGTGTATTGCATAAGTCCAAACTTATTGCATAAGTCCAAACTCTTCAATGTGTATACTTGAACATCTGCCACTTACTTTTTCTAATGCAGGACATTAAATGAATATATATAGACTACTGAAAACAACCAATGGGGGTTGATATTGCTGCGATTGTTGTTTTGAAAGATTATCAAACTGGTATGTGAAGACCAGGTTGGGGAGCTGGTTGAAAGTGGAGGGTCAGAACTATGGGAGACTTAGACTGCCATAAAGGCCGAGGAGATAGAAGAGGGGGGATGGAGTCAATAGGTAGGTAGGAAGTACCAAGGAAAGACTCCTTGAGGCACTGAATGTGAAGGTGAGGAAGAGGAAGGACTGAAGTAGGATTTTCTGGGTTTCCAGTTTCAGAAACCGGATGTCTGATGCTGCCACTTCTGAACGGTGAAGACAGCACCTGCAATATGATTTGAAGGGCGTATAAAACTTCCATTTTGAAAATGTTAGTTTTGAAATTCCACTTAGACCATTTGCCTCATGTGAGGTGTAGGTAGTTTGCATGAGTTATGGTCGTTCCCTTAAGATGAATTACTAGAATTGTGCAAGCCAACATATAAAATTACAATACCCATCGCCAAAGAGCACTCCAAACACAACCGAACATTTAATAGTTCTACCTGAGAGACAAGTCAAATGCAAATTTTAAGTTAGATAAATGTTTCCAGAACTAAGAGGAAAAGTTTGAACTCCACTCATTGGGGGGATTGCTTCTACGTCAGAAGAGATTGGACAGTTACCATGGAATGTAGGTCAAAGCTATTGGATGGGGGTTGCTCAAGGAACACAGAGCCAGAATGTTGGATGTGTTATCTGTCTGGCTGCTATAAATGACTTTATTCAAAGTCATAGCTAGTTTGAGAATCACCCATAGTGTATTCAGTCTTGATCACCTTCATTAATTTTTAATTTTGTGGGAGTGTTGGGGCTGCTAACCACAAAATCAGCCATTGAAAACCACCAGCCAATCCATGGGAGAAAGATGGGTTTCTACTCCCGTAATGAGTTACAGTCACAGACACTCACAGGGGCTGTTCTGCCCCATCCCATGGAGTTGCTATGAGTCAGCACCAGCAGTAAGAGGTGTACAGTGCAAAGCATTCTAAGCTGCGGAAATAATACCATCGTAATAATCAGATATGTTGCCTTAGGCAAGTATTAAACAGACATTCCATGATACCCATCTTCCCATCACGATCGTTGAAGACAAATGTGTGCATAAGCAAATGTGGTGAAGAAAGCTGATGGTGCCTGGCTATCAAAAGATATAGCGCCTGGGGTCTTAAAGGCTTGAAGGTAAACAAGTGGCCATCTAGCTGAGAAGCAACAAAGCCCACATGGAAGAAGCACACTAGCCTGTGTGATCATAAGGTGTGGAAGGGATCAGGTAGCAGGCATCAAAGAACAAAAATCATGGTTGTGTGCTCACCTTCCCCATACAAATGCTGAAGACAAATGTGTGCATAAGTAAGTGTGGTGAAGAAGGCTGATGGAGCCCAGCTATTGAGAGATATAGTGTCTGGGGTCTTAAATGCTTGAAGGTAAACAAGTGGCTATTTAGCCCAGAACAGATTTTTTTTTTAATGTTATTTGTATTTGTGAGATTTTGAAGTTAAGTTTCCATTTTCCTGCATATTTACTACAGCACGTATCTTCAGTATAATTCTAAATAGTATTTTATTGTGTAAATAATATAAATCATAAAGAGAAAGATTTGTTTAATAAGACCAACTTCAAGATTTCTAGGATTGTCATATGTCTAATGGAAAATCAAAAATGAAGTTTAGGGTTCTCTTAGCTCATCTTGATACAAAAGTGATTATAAATAAGTAAATTAATTAAGGTCAGTCTTAAAGTACATGATTTTTATTACCCCTTTTGAGTCAAGTTTTTATTCAATGTTCCATCTAGGCCATTGCTGCTGAGTTGTGCACACATAAACACACATTGTAGAGGGTTTGTTTAGGCCCTTTCTGCATGTGTAAAGAACTGGAGCCTCCGAAACCCAAAGGGGCTGTTCTCTATCCTACAGGGTCACTCTGAGTTTGAATCGACTTGATGACAATAAATGTAGTGTGGCTCATCATGACGTTGACAAAGAATACTGAGTAGATCATGGCCTACTGGACTACTAGAAGAACAAAAAAATACGTCTTAGAAGAAATGCAGTTAGAAAGCCCTTTATAAATGAGGATAGAGAGAGTTCTTCTCATGGAGATGTTATCAGGAGGGGTCAATCCTTGGAAAAGGCTAAAGGCAAAGCAGAGGTTCAAGGAATAAGACGTTCGAGAAGATGGGGTGTTCCAG